GAATAGGAGTTGGAAAAGGAACTATAAGGCATATTATCGATACTAGCAATCAGATTAGTAAGAACCAAAATTAATTCTTGGTCGGAACTGATCGCATATTTAGTTTTGGCGACCGGATGGAGAGTATGAGTTTCTTCTTCCTCTTGTAATATCTTATTTTCTAAATAGTTTTTAAATTGTTGTCAAGTCATAATAATGCTTAAAATCCTTTACTAATTGAGCCAATAATTCTCTGAATTAACTTTATTATCAACATTATTCCTAATACTCCTGCTAAAACTATCCCGCCTCATTTCACATAAGTTCCATATTTAGACCAAAATCCGCCACTTCCCACTTCTGGGAAAAAATTCTGATTATTTTGTAAGGGAACCTTTGGCGGCTCTATATCGCTTTCACTATCCGTATCTCAATCTCGCTCAAAAGGCTTCCTATTTTTAAAAGAACCATGATAAGAAGAAAAATCAGGCACGGAAACATTAACATTATACTTATTCGCTAAATCATTCAATTTTTGGCTGGTTTCTCCCAACTTATCTTTTAAACTAATTAAGCCCTCTTGTCCTTTTTTTATTTCCTCATTTAAATTCTTTTCTTTCTCTTTTTGTTCGTCTAACTGTCTTTTATAGGCCCCTAAACTGGCCATAGTCTGGTCTAAATCTTGCTGGGCTTTCTTGCGGTCGTTTTCGATAATATTTAGCCGATTTTGATATTCTTCTTCTCTAATTTTACCATCTGCTTTTAACTGGTCCAATTCTTCCCGTTGCTTTTCGCATTTAGCCACAGTCTCTTCTTGCTCTTTTCGCAATTTTTCAATTTCAACAATTTTCTCTTCTAATTTAATCTTTTCGGCTTTGGCCTCTTCTAACTGTTTATTTAAGGCCTTAATTTCGGCTTTTAAACTATTTTCGCTTTCTTTTAGAGCGGCTTGGGCGTTGGCCTCGTAATTTTTCATCATTTCGGCCAATTCAGCCTGGTGCTTTTTATGCTGCTCTTCTAATTGTTTTTGATAATTATCAACTGTGCCTTGTCATTTATTTTCGATTTCTTGGACATTTTTCTTAAAAGTCTCCTCATTATATTTATTTCTTTCTTTTTCCTGCTCTTCTAATTTTTTTTCTAATCTTATTTCTTCGTCAATTTTAGCTTTTCAAGTTCTGACCTGCTTTTCAAAATCTCATTTGGCCATTTTTACCCCATAGTCGTGTGTTTCGTATCAGGGATTATCAAAACTACCAACAAAATGTTGTGTTCGTCCCTCGTATTCCACCGTTTCGCTTCACTCTTTTATTGTCATAATTTTAAAATATTGTCGCTATTTTTTTTGTTAGATAAATAATTACTGATACTATTATCGCTATTACTACTCCTAAAATTAATAATCACTTCTTACCACCGCTTGGTTGTCTAATAAAAATATCTGACTCTGCCGAACTTACATTACTATCATCAGAAGTATCACTGGAAATTTCACTATTATTCATTTCTCCTTGCTTAATGTTGCTTCATAAATCGGCAAAATTACTTGGTCTTTCTTTTTCCCGTTCTGCTTTTATTTTCTTTTCTTTTTTCTCTAATCCCGCTAAAATCAGACCTAATTCTTTCATCTCCTCAGCCATTTTTCTTTTCTGACTTTCGGCCTGATTAATAGCCACTTTTCATTCTTCGGCCTCGGAACTGTCCGGATTCTTTTTCAACTTTTCTCATGCTTCCGTTTGTGCGGCTTGAATTTGTTCCCGCTCAGCTTTTAATTTTTCAATTTCGGCCTGGTGTCGTTCAAATTCTTTTCTTCGTTTTTCATCTTCTATCGCCTCCTTTTTGGCTCTATTATAAAGAAAAGACGGACTTAATATTTTTTCAATCATGGCGTCTAATCTTTTATTCAGCAAGCCAAAAATATTAGCCCCTTGGATAATTATCTTATGACGGGCTGACATCATGGCTATTATTTCGTTCATATCCTGGGGAAATAAACAATCCGTGCCTCAGGTGGCTCGGCCATCATTAGCGATACAGCGACCCGCTTGCCCCCAAGTCATAGCATGGGTATTATGGGACTTAGATAATTGTAAAGAATTAATAACTTTTTCTCTTAATAATTCCCAAGTATCTTCCTCAATAAATTCTAAATTGGTGTTCATCATTTCGTTATAAGTTTTCTCGGCTTCCTCCAAATTTGCCCTTACACTCCGATAATAATATCATTTCTCATAAATAATATCCATCGCCCAACTAGCCCAAGTGTGATAAGCCTTCACATGTTTATCATTATACTTCCCCGCCATTTCTGAATTATAATAAAAAGTAGTGGGAAAATATTTTTCGCTAAATTCCCTTTCTTCATTGTCGGTATAAGTCATAATTAATCATTAAATATTCGTAATTTCTTATAAAAATATCATCCTATGGCGAGCAAAATTACCAATGGTATTAATCATCAGCAATGATGTTTATATTCTTTTCACTTGTTAACTCATCAATTATTTTCACTCTGGTTAGTGGTCGGGACTGATTTTTCCCATTGTTTTAAAGAGGATAGTTGGTTTTGATAATCTAAAATTTGGTCTTCGTATTCTTCTATTTTTCGTCTTCATTCGGTTATTTCTTGTTCTTTATTATCAATTTCCTTATTTAAAGTTTCAATTTGAGTTTGATAAGAAGTGGTTTCTTTTTGTTTTTGAGCAATTTGCTCTTGGAGTTTCTTTTTTTCCTGTTCGGATTGTTGAATATTTTGCTTTGCTTCGGTTAACTTTTTTTGTAGTTCAGTTATTTCTTGTTTTAGTTGGCGGATTCTTTCGGCTGATTCAGTTTCTAATTTAGTTTTAGCTTCCTCTAATAGTTTGAGTTTGGTTTCTAGTCTTTCTATTTTTTTGGTTTTGTCGGCTTCATTTTGTTTAGTTTGAGTGAGTTCTTGTTGGGTTTCTTGGACTTTTTTTTCTAAATCTTTGATTAATTGTTCTTTATCAGAATATCTTTCTTTTCACACTTTAACCATTTTTTCCGGATGGGCTAATTGCCAGGCTTTTAGGTCGTAGTCGAAAGGACGCAATTGGTCTTGGATAGCTCGGCATTTGGCTCTTCTATTATTAGCATTACAATGAAATCAACCCTTACACATACCCACTAAATACTCTAAGCCCTCATCTACGTCGGTAGCCTCAATACAAACATTATCGAGTTTGGTTAAACTTTTTCAACTTTCAAAGGAGCCGTAGAATTTATTATGTCTGCCTCGTTTTAAGGCTCTTGAGTCAGTTCCTATTCTTAAAGTTTTTAAATTAGGAAAACGGCTAAATATTGCGATGTCCGTTGACTGGATATTATTATTGTCAACATTTAAACCTGTTAGTTTTTCTGGATTAGATAATTGAGTTAAAAAATCGATAGAGGTAAACTTGTTTCATGAGAACTCTAATTCATAGAGATTAGGCATGTTGCTAATGCTCAACTTGGTTAAAGGACTTTTAAGATGATCTTCATTGAAATGAAATGTCAGGTGTACCTTTTCTAAATTAACATACTCCCTTAAATCCAACTCACCACCTTCTAATAGTTCAATAATGCCTTGGGATTTTCTTTCATAGTAAATTTCCTGAACAACAATCCTCTTTACTTGCTCTTTTTCTTCCCTCGTTGGATATTTCTGATTTAAATATTCTTGTAAAGTTGTCATAGATAATTTTATCTTATTTTTGCCTTTTTTCTCTATTGCTTATATAAAATTATGATTAGTTATAAAACTAATAATATAAAGATGCCCACCATCCATCGTGAGGGAAGTTATAAATTTCGCTTCTACTCTAATGAAAATAATGAGCCACCTCATATTCATGTCTGAAGTCCAGACGGACAAATGAAAATTTGGCTCAATGAGGATTTAGAAATAGCAGAATGTTATGGCATTCCCCGTCATGAATGAGGCAAATTATTAGAGATAATTGCTAAACATAAACAAACATTTTTAAACAAGTGATATGAATTTAAGAAACGAGGTCAGAGTTAATCAACAGCCAATAATCCAAACTCAGGAGCATATAACCATTCTAGGTTTAGACATAAATAAGGAAGCAGGAGGAATTATGGCTAATTTAAGTGATAGCCGCAGTATTATTATTCCTCTGGCTTGATTTAAGCGTTTACGGAATGCTACTCCTGAACAATTAAATAAATATGAGATTTCTCCTGCGGGTTGTGCTATTCACTGAGAGGAATTAGATGAGGATATTAGTATTAAATCCTTTATTAATGGTTTACGAGGGGGATGTTGTCATTAATTTTTAACTCATCACTTTCCTTATTATCTTTATTACTCATATAACAATAAACACCACCGCTAAAACTATTCCACCAATCAGTCCATATTTTTTTCAATTTATTTTCTGATATCAAACTTGTTCTTGTCGATTTTGGCTTTCCTCTTCTAAGGCTTTCAACAATTTCTCCGCCATCTCTTTTTGCTTGCTTAACTGTTTTTGTTCCTCCTTCTCCAACAAATTATACTCCTTTATTCACTCCTGCAATTTCTTATCATAACCTTTTCTTTTTATCAACTCATAATTCAGACTGACCGCGGCCTCCAACAAGAATTTGCCCATTAGTTCATCTTCTCCTAAGGCTTCTTTTAAGCGTTCAGCACGGGTAATAGTGATGGTTCAGTCAGCAAAAATTTTCTCTAACACTTTTCAAGTAGCGGAGGAAATTTCAACTTCGATATCTTGTTTTTTTCCGAAGTGAGTTTCTGCTCTTTTTGGGAACAATTGCGATCAGGTTTTTAATCCGTCCTCATTACATAAATCATCTAAATCGGGTAAAAAATGGTAATCATTATCTTGCTCGCTGAGATAAGAATAGGAGTTGGACAAGGAACTATAAGGCATTTTATCGATACTAGCAATCAGCTCAGTAAGAACC